AGACGAGCGACTATTACCGCCAAGCAATCGGGTGTAAGTATCACTTCACGCATGCGTAGTTAGGTTTCTTGGACCCTTCAGGACCTGTCACATGTGCGATATTTTTTGCAAACATTTTTGCAAGAAGTTGCAGTATGATATGGCATGGTGCAACTTGATTTTTTCTTGAGATAAGTTGCACTTTACATTATCTTCTTCAGAGAGCATTTTTTTAGTTAATGCTGTCAGTTGTTTTTTTCAGGTTAGACTTGGTAACTACAAAAATCTGAGCAAAAATGACATAAAACTTATGAACCTGATGTACGAGTGCAGCGGTGGTGGTGGCGGCGGTGGTGGTGGTGGGGTAGAACCTCCCCCACCTCCTCCTCCCCCTCCCCCACCAGGTAAGTTGATATCGAAAGTGAGCGATGATGAACACATGATGAAACAAATTGAAAGACAACATACATTTAGTAAAGAAACGGACAGTCAGCCAGAAAACGACGCACTTAGAACAATTGAAAAATTGGTAGTAATCAAAAAGTATTCCTTCAAATGTACATACCACAAGCCAAGTTATTTTCGTATTAGGAAACTGTAAGGACACAGGAAGGTATTGCTCTTACCACGTACCAAGAGGCGATTGCAAGAGAATGCAGATCGTCAGGGAAAAATGCAGGAAGAGCTGTGGCTTGTGTTAGGTGCGATAAATAAACATTAACACAACACACCACATCAACACGCACAAAAACATCACTTAAGATATCACAGAACAACACATGTATCCACAAACACACCACATCAACACAACAACACACACCACTTCAACACAAACAAAAAAACTCAAGATAATAACCACAATACCTACAACAATAACCTATTACATCAACAACAGAAATGATGGGACAACAATGAGAAAGACAACAACACGACAATAATAAAACAACARCAGCAGCAGCACAACGCAACCATGAAAACTAGAAAACATCTATTTGCATATGYTGTAGATATATTTTATTTATTTTCCAATGACAGTAACATTACTAATGACTTTTTTTTGTATTTTTAGATCTATAAAGACACCGTGATATGTTTTTATGATTTGTGATCAAACTGATGAATAAATAACTGTCTAAATGCTATGAGTATCATGTCATAATTTTATTTCTTGATGATTTGTTGTTCTTGTTTCTTTATCTATATCTTGCTTGTTTTCTTGTACTATTTATGTTGCTTGTATTATTATGTTGTTTGATGGTTGGCTGCAACCTCGTTGTCTTCAACAGCACTACTTGTTGATTTTCAAGTAAGCTGACGACAACAACATATGACAACAACATATGCAAAAAACAACATATGACAGCAACAACATATCACAACAACAACATATGACAGCAACAACATATGACAACAACAACATATGACAACAACATATGACAACAACATATGACAGCAACAACATATGACAACAACAACATATGACAACAACAACATATTACGACGTTATGATGTCGTGCATTAACGTTCTTGAGTGAACTGTGATTATTCACRAATTCATTTCAAATCTTTTCGTTTCAAACAAGCAACCACATGACCAGAAAGCAAACAAAACGACTGTTGTTGACCAGTGAATTGCAAGTTATTTTTTTCACTGTTTATCCTTAGACAAACACCTCAATATAAGTGCTTGTAGCTTTACTTTTCACAGGGGTGGATCCAGCTTTTTAAATGAATAGTACCAATCTCATTCCGAATTTTCTCAGTTGTTTGGTGTTGTTTATAAGTAGAGTACAGTACTGTTTCCTTGCAAATTCTAAGGCAAAGAACAAAAAAACTTCCATTAAACTTCATTAACAGATGATTGACATGAATATTGAGCATTTTTGTCGTCGTGTTATTTTTCACCAAGGCGAGAAATATTGGACATTGTCTTCCTGTCTTGCACCTGAGAAATGCTCAGTAAGCTTGTGTACAAAAAAGACGGTTTGCGTCATCACGTGTCCTTTCAGCTTTGTATCTTGTTGGCTGAGCTGTGAAAGCATTGCTCAAAATCCGCCCAACTACGCCAAAGACCAAAGAATCTGCAATGAAACTCAGTGAAATGAGGTTTGTTTTGGTCGCTTTGTTCCTTGGTGTTGCTTGCGCGCAGTATAGCCCTGAAGGTATGTTAGCAAACTGATGATATGAAACAGAGTTATACAGATGTAACAACTCAGGTAATATACGCTCAAAAAGCAGCTAATACACTTCACGGGTGTGTTGTTGACAGGACACGATCTGATGTAACATATAGCCAATTACTAGACCTACAAAAGAAAAATAAGAACTAAGGGTGTATTCGCGTAAAAGAATCTGTTGATATAAGTTAAAGCAGCATCCGACTATGTTTAATGTTATGTACTTACATAACAAAACTAATCAGGCAAGATGTTAAAGTCATGGAGCAGTCCCCTATGGAACAGTTACTAACGATTCTCACATACGAATTTAATTCATTCTTCAGAAAACATTGGTGTTGATGATCCAAATCTTTTCGAGGGTGACATGATTTTAACGGATGAACAGCGTTTAGCTGCYAGAATGGGTTTGGATGTGGACGCACCTTTTTCCAGGAAAGGTATAAGGAACCGTCGATGGCCAGGAGGAGTCGTGGTA